ACTGAGCGGCGCGGCTAAAAGGAAGGGGCGACAAAAGCGAGACCGGGTCAGGGCGCCTTTGTCGCCCAGACGGTAGACGCCAATAGCACTTCTGTTGCTGTTGCTGTTGTTAGCTATTGCTTCTCTCTTCTTGTTTTCGGGTTTTAGTAGGGGATTGGGGGAAAACATACTAAGACGCCGACACATAACCTCTCGCTCCATTCCCACCCGCATCGAAGTATTCCGCAGCAACACCGCTAAGCGGTGCACTCACGCGCGCAATCCGGCTAAGTTTTCCATCATCACCAATGGAGAAGGAATTCAGCGATCCCTGTGTCGAAGACCCCTTGCCGCGATCCAAGCAGTACAAGATGCGTTGCGAGAAGTCGAGATTCAGGGTCGCAGGATTAACCTCGCAGTCCTTGGTCACAGATGTGACGGACAGGTTGTATATGTTGCCCGTCTGTCTGAGGGCGAGTGTGCTGACGTTTCCATCCGAGTGGGCGGCGAAGAGCTGCTGCGCGCTGCCCGGTGGAGTCAGGAGCGCCGAGGACAAGACGGAAGTGAGCAGGAGACGAGAAAGCATGATGGCGCGCCGATTAAGGTAAGCTGTGTACGGTAGTGGTTTGAAGCAATTGGTCCTGTCCCGCTGTGAGAAACAAAACACAATGCCAAACAATAAGCAAAAGAGGGTTGCAAAGTTGGATCGAGCACACAAAGGTCCTCGGTATGATCGATAAACAACCTCTAACTTCTACGGTGCAAGCGAGCATCGAGATCAACGTACTTCTTATATCCCCCCCGAGTCCACCAAACTCTCCGCGTCCTTTTCGTCTTACCCCATATGTGCCTGAACCAAAACGACACTATTTCGTTGATTTACCCAGTCTTGTTTCCTCAGGCGGATGATGGATCCATGTCGGTCTTGGGACGGTCGTTCTTTGCTCCAGAGCCAAGAGGACTAGCGTTTCAACGGTCGCGTCAGAAGGGACCGCTGTATCCGTACTGGTAGGCACATGGCAACTTGGCACTGGACAGCCTATTGTTTCTTGCACAAAGCTTGGTTGCGCTGGCACATCGTGGGTGAGGGGGGACTGAAACTGTGTTGCTGTTTTCTCTGGTGGTGTTGGTGGTGGTGGTGATGATGATGAGGGATGGAAGAACAAGTAACAAAGTCCGGTTCAAATGCCGTCATGGCTTTTCACTGCATGCGCCGCTCCGTTCCGACACAAGCTAGACTGTAAAAGGCACCGGACTTCCTCTTGTGGAAAACCTCGAAATCCTCCATGCTGTCACACCTACTCTCTTTGTCCATTTGCTGACATGGACACGAAAAGAATGCTTCTTCCACCAAGTCTTCCTCCTAGGTTCATACCCCCCCCGCGCCCTAACCCACGATGCGACAACTGCTTACCTGCTATTATTACACTGCAGATAGTACCTCCCACCTCCTCAGCTCCCTCCCTGCAGCATGCACTTTTCATCGCCCATTATGGTCTGAGGAGCAGTTTCACAGTTGTGACTAGGTACGGCCGAAGGAGCCGTGGGTACGGCACGAAAGACTGCACCGGCTAGCTACCCTGACAGTGAAATGCCAAGGCTATCTTCGCTTGGCTCCAATCTCGGTCTCATATATCTCCATACTGTTTACGAGCGCAAAGGATGCAGAGCACAGTACTGAGTTAATTTGCACAACAAATACCTACATGCTGCGGTCGCACAGCTGCGTGCGGCCGGATCTTGTCGGATACTGCTCGAGATTGATGAATTTCCGCGTAACTCTGGATTCCGGGCCGTGATGCTTGGCCGTGACCAGGAGAAGAATTTTGCAAGGGTGAGTCTCATGCAATTTACTTTGTGTATATAGTAGGTAAGAATTTTGATCTTGAAAATGGCCCGGTTTTGTAGTAAATGGCGGGATATAGTAATGACCTAGGTACATAGGTTGAGACTACACTAGGCTTTGTATTCCCCACTCGCATCAAGAACCCACTTCCCTGCCCCAGCCAAGGTACACTAGGTTTCCCCTAGAGTGCAGAAAATACGAAAATGTCAAAAGACAAAGAAAAGTGTACAGGATGCTCCCCAAGGATGCCCCAATATATAGCTGTATATCAAATGCCTCCCAGAACCCGATCCGCAGATGAGCAAGCGACAGGATCGTATTGCCAGCAAAATAACGACAGCATTTCACTCAAACTCGGTAGGAAATATATCCAATCGTGTTGGAATACACGCTCAAGTTATCCGACCAGCTTGCCTTGTCCTGCCCATCAATCGTAAGCATCTGGAGCGCACCCACCTGCGATAGCGCAAACGCCTGCACACTCGAGTCGCCCTCGATACTAAAGATGCGGTTCTGGCAGTCCCGTCGGCCGTTGGGCGCGTCGGCGCTCGAACAGGTGAGGTCGTAGTTTTTGAAGAACGAGTACAAGCCGCCGCCGTAGATCAACACGTTCTTGGAATTCAGCACGCGCATGCCGTATGCATTGCAAACGCCGGCGGGACAGGCAGAGGCGTAGTCTGGGTCGGAGAAGGCGTCGGAACGGCCGTAGGGCTGTGTTTTGGCGTCTGGGTTGGGCATGTAGTAAGGTGTCTCGGTTTGGATGAAGCCGGCGAAGATGTTGCTGGCGCCGTTGAACTGTGGAAGTATTAGCAATGTATTGCATATAGGCTAGCATCGTCTTTCTTACCTGGTACTGATACAACGCATGGTGCTCGACGCCGTTTGCCCATAGGAAGACATTGGAGGCCTCAACGTGGAGACCACGGCCGGTAAAGAGGGAGATACGTGTGCTTTCTGGGTCATCCAAATCGTGATCGGCAGTCTATAGACGGTCAGCAATCATAAAATCGAACATTGAGTCCATAGCTACTCACCCAGAACCAGTTATTCTCAAAGTAGGCACCCGTCGCCGACTTTGTGACGTGCACATTGGTATGTGCTGCCATGCACTCGGGCTTGGTCGTGAAGATGGGGCATTGCGCAACTTGCTGGAGGGTACCCTTGGCCCCGCCGATACGGGTATGAACATCCCAAACTCCAGAGCCTCGTTGAGTATTGAGGTTGTATTCGATGACAATGGCTCCTGGTGTCGCTCCTTGTGTCTGTACAATCATGTCGGACCATTCGATGATTCCGCTGTCGCCAGGCCTGCCGATTTGAATGACAGGCTTGGGGCTGTTCATATTCGACCATGTGCTGCCAGATGCCATGATGGTGGAGAAAGTCTCGCCTACCATGCGTGCGCCTGGAGGAACATAGATTGTCTGCGTCACCTTGTAAACACCGTGCTCAAAGAACAGAACCTTGTTTTGAGATGCAGATTGCGTGATGGCAGCCTGAATAGCCCTGGTATCATCGGTAGACCCATCGCCAGTAGCACCTGCCGATCGAGCGGAAATGAAGTCTGCAGTGCTCAGGTTCTCGTAATGAGGCTTCGACTTGGAATAGTATCTGCCGTTCTCCAGAAGACCTTGAGGCCGCGCTACAGGCGTGATGGGACCCTGGAACTTTTGAGGTCCGTCCGGAGAGTATCTGTTGCCTTGACCCCAGGCTTGGATGGTAAGAGTACCACCTGGAAGGACTGTGGCACCAGAACCCTTCACAGCGACAGGAACGTTGTTTAATCTGATATTCTCAAGAACCAACTGTCCGGCACCAGTCGGAACGGTGTTCGTCCTCCATGCCATGTCGACAAACGTCGGGCAGTTTGTAATCTCAGAGTCGATGATGACGACTGAGCCAACTTCAAGTTTGTTTGCCGAACCACCGTTGATCATGGAGAAGGCTGTACCGCAATCGGATATTGAGAGGCCAGAGTAAAGCCAGCCCCAGTTCCAGATTTGTGAGATTCCGATGACAGCTCTGGAGATCTTGATGTTCCTCATGGTAAATTGCTGGTTGCCAATGTTCATACCGTACAGCCCACCGCTAATTTCAAGGTCGGCCATGTGGCCACCACTTCCATTCTCAACGAAGATACCGGCATGAACCGATTGGGCTGACTGGGTCATCCTAATCTTGACATTCTGGATAGTTGTAGCTTGCGAAGCCGGCCAGTGAATACCCTGGAAGCCCCTTGTGGGTGGAATTGCAGTACCATCAATCACTAGGTTGCGGATCTGGCGCATGAAGAGGTTGGTCGACGTCCATCCAGGTATGCCATTTTCTCCATAAGGAGAAGCATCGATCAGTGCTAGCGCGTCGAGTGATGGGGCTGCCTTGAGAACAGGGAGATTCCTTGGGTTACCAATGAGCTGTGTCATGTAGTAGAATATAATCGGCCTGCTGATGATGTATGTACCAGAGGGTACGTAAACCACGGCAGGGGAGTCAGTTGAAGAATCGCACACGAACGGGCCACAGCGATTGCCATCGCTAATGGCGCGGTTGAAAGCCTCCGTGTCATCAGTGACGCCGTCACCTTCATGATCGTTAGCTTGTTGATAGTATCATGCTTTCCCATGCTTACCTCTAGCGCCATACTCCTTCACATTCCTGAAGACCTTGTAGCCGCCAGGGTTGGCGTTGAATGCAGCCCGACCCTTGCCTGACAGATCGTTGAGCCAGTAGCCATCTGGGAATGCTGCTGCGAGGGTCGAAACCTCATCAGCTTCTGCCGTGGCCTCAACTTGGGCAGACCGCGTAACAGGTGCTGTCTGACATCAGTACACTATTCTATCGAAGACAGGCTGGTCCTAGTAACATACCTATCGCTGCAGAATAAACGCCTGCCGCCATAAGGCAGCTGACTAGGAACCGCAACTGCATACTCGGAGTTCGTGGGAGATGCCTAGGTATATACAAGAAAAGCAGGCAGTGTGACGTTGGGGGAAAAGAGAGAGATGATGGCGGCCGATGGGCAGTTTATTAACCTTCTCTGCATCTCGCTTCTCTTTCCAGTGTGTGTGAAAGCAGGTAGGCGTGTTCATTTGCTTTCTCATGGAGGCTTGGAATAATTAGTTCATCACCACCCCTTGCCATCACAGCACACGCTGACCGACTGATTCCTGCCAAACGGTCATACGCCACGTACATTGCCAGCCGCGGGGCAAATCTACGCCCACCTCCCTCACTGGGCTAATGGGTCCAGATTGAGGTAACATAGCCGTGGCAAGGGCGCGTGGAACGAATGTCTTCTGGAAGATGGTCCAAGGGAGTATGCAATCGCCAGAAGGTGTAACCTTGGCGATGCTCCGTGTGGTGTTTATCAAGCACTTCTAGACAACTGTACCGGTGCTACCGAGGCCTCGACCCTGAATTTGTGGATATGTTCATTTCCTCCTTCTTTTCTAAACTGTAAAAATGTGCTCTATACAGAGAGACTACAAGACAGTGTTTCGAAGGTGGTGACACTAGCCTCGATCAGGTAGACGTCACCGGGTCGGGCCTCTGTCTACACTATTCCCGCCAAGTGCTATCCAGCTAAGCCAGGGAACGAGGAACAAGTATGTGTGTGATGAGTACAGTGTGAGAGACACGTTAACGGCTTGGGGAACAGCCTGCGGTTGCGAGCGCCCGACCCCGGATTTTTGTCAACCTCAACGGGTAAAGCTGCCCACATGTGTGGGAAAGTCTTGTGTCCCACTTTGCTGCAAGATCTTGTGTTAGAGAAACTTCCAGCGGCCTTATGATCCGCACTTTTGGGGTGCGCGTGCTCACTTGCACACACAAGTCTAGGAAACTTCACCAAGCCCACCGTTCAACAGGTCACGACGCCGCAGAAGTCGTGTGAGACATCCTCAAGACATGCATCGTGATGGGAAATCACAAGAACCTTCCTAATAGAATCGACTCTGAGACTGCGATGCGAGGTAGGGAGCGGAAATTGCGACTACAATACTCCCTGTGCAGGATCTTCAAAAGGCAGTATAGTCCGAGATGGTGGGCACTGCGCAAGGACTGTAGTTGGAATAGAGGTGGGAAGAAATGCCAGGACGCTGGGTACTTAGGCCCGCGGAGGATTGAGATCTCGAACAACGCCTTTTTGCTACCCCAGATCCTCACATAGAACATCTGGAGCCGAGGTTGGGCAAGGGTTAGATCAGGTGCTGTAGGCTGAATAGATTAATCCAATCTTCTATCCGCCAGTCAGATGATCGAACTCCAGTTTTATGGGGCTCGCGAATCATACTAGCTTACAAGGTATACATGTGACGCTGGAGACGAAGAAGCGTACCGATCTTTTGATTTACAGGTTCAGGTAATTTCCTCGACCATGTGTAATTCGAGCATGGTAGTGTGAGTTCTGAGTAGTGCAGCCACATGGCGCGTATGCACATTTTCTGTACTACGGCTGGCACCGGAATGGCTGTTGTTAGTTCAGTGAATAACAAGGCTGACTCGTTCGCCATCTGTAGTACTCCTGAAATTGTCTTGATAATGTGAAAAGGTACGCTGGATGAACAACCAGAAAAAATCAGTAAAGAAATGTAGAGAGATTGATTGCCAACGTGCGAAAGTCTGGGAGAGTGCCGGGTTCATTGCCTGTAGCTTCAGCTGCTCATGATGCGCCCGTGAATACCAGTAGACACTAACATGGTGGAGAGGGAGATTGTGGTGAATCGTGGTGCTACTACCTCGTGGCTATGTGTGTGGCAGATCTGCTGATTTCCTCTATACTACCAATGGCTTTTACACACATCCTAGAGTCTTCAGAGCTTGTTTTTCATCTCCAGAAACATGCACTCTCCAACTGTGAAGACCGTCCCTGCACCATCTTCAATAGTAGCTCGCAGCCAGACCTTTCTGCCCTCGGTTCGTTCCAATTTGGCAGTGCAGAGTATAACGCCAGGAGTAGGTACCGGTAAGCGGTAGGATGTATTCAGGTCTGTCATACGTCAATACCGAGGCATTCATGTTTCGAGTCTCGTATGACGTACACGCAGTGAAATAACTGGGCTGCACATGGGAGCCGCTGGGATTTTGTCGCTTCATCCTTTCTAGCTGAGCCGCTGTGTTGATCTGTAACAGAACACCAGAAACTTCGTCCAGTAGAGTTGCTGCCATCCCGCCGTGGATAATATTGGGATAGCCGTTTAGCCCTTCGCCGATCTCCACAAGGGTCACAATCTTTTGGTAAGGCCAGTGGTCATCTACAGCCTGAGCCGGACGCAAGGTCAGGCATGTTCGCATTGTTCGATCTGTGGAGAGCGTCTCTGCGAAAAAGGAGTCCTCTCCTGTTGGCTTCAGAACACGTGATGGCGTTTCTGCTATGGTCCATTCTGGACTGTTGATCAGGGACGCCGCCCAAGGTGTAGCAGAGAGCCGCATGATGGTTGCATCCCCCATATTAAACGATTATGTATAGCGAGAGACGTGCTGCTGTGTTGTTGCGATATCGACATGATGAAGGTGTTAGGGTTGATTCAAGCCGAGGTGTACGTACCGGTACCTCTTACTGATACGGCCAGCCTCGGAGGTCCCTATCGATAACAGGACTTGGCCGTTGTGGTGTTCCCATCTCGTCACAGCCAACCCCAAATGCGTACCTTCACGACTATTCGAACCAACAAGTGATTTTTGATGGGACACAAGCCATATTTTCCATACTAGTGATCCTCATGGTCGTCTCACATTCCACCCTGACAGACCTACGCAGCAGGTTGACGCTCAACGTCCACAAACTTGAGCAGTTGAATGGTAACGACATTTGCTTCAAACTCCATGTTGTCAGCACAACTATGTAGAAATCTATCATCTCTTCAATACGAGAAAGGAGCAATCTCATTAGGATATTCTCAAATGTCGCGTCTCTCACATGCGAGTCTCCGATCCCCAGAATGAAAGACGTCACTTATACGCGCTAGACTACACCTCAAAGACACGCGAGTCGCAGCATCTAACCCACAAGTAGAGCTGCCATGCTGCAAATGATGTATCACTACCGAATATGATCGGGTCATAAAGTGCCATTACCCCCGATTCTGCATCACTGTCCCCACCTCTTGAATCTTCCTCACCCTTACTTCTATACATACGCAACATAGAGTCTCACATTTCTACATTCAACATTAAACTCATTGCATACCTCCAACCTTCAACCCGAAACCCCCAAACCCCCAATCCACAATGTCTCCAAAACCTCATTCCCAAAAAGTCCGCGGAACCCTAGACAATCCAAAAACCAAAGAAGCCATCGACTCGCCCAAACCAACCCCAAACCTCGGCGACCCCACCAGTCTCAAGTCCGCAAACAACGACAGCATCGACCTTCCCCCCAACGACTCTGCTCCTCCCGCCGGCGAAGGTAACGATTCGAACTCCAATTCCGCGCCCACGGTGTCAGACCCATATCGCAAGGACACTTATGCCGGCGGTGGGGATAAGCGTGCAAAAGGCAATGGCAGGGAGCATGGTAAACAGAGCAAGGAACAGCTCCCACATTCCAAAAAAGTAAGAGGGACGTTAGCAAATACAGATGGCAAGACTGTGAACCGGACGCAATTGGGTGATCCGGCGAGTTTGAAGGCTGAGACTAGTGCTACGAGGATGGAACATGGTGTTGAGAGGGAGGGGTTGGAGAAGAGTAAGCTGTAGGTGGTATAGGCAGTGGGATGGCAAAAAACTTGAGAACCAAGAAGGAAGAAATGTGTAGGTATATATATATACGTATACTCGCCCTAATGTATTTCGTCTCATGCCATATGTGTACCACTAGAGATGGTTCTGAAGCACCATTACCATGCGAATCCACCCTCCACGATCTCAACACGTATCCGCAAACATAAAAATAAACATCAACAGAAATGTAAACGGGCCAAAAGAAAAACAGAAGAAGGAAAGAAAAGGAAAAACAAAAAACTTCCACAGAGAGAAAAATGTAACTTTTTCCAGCTAATTTCTCCAAAAACGCAAAATGCAAACACTTTGGCGCAGTCCCCCTAGGCTTCTCCCAACTCCAATTTCAATCAAATCACATGCCCGAGTCAGCCTCGACTTCATCCTCTTCTTCTATGCCTTTCCCTCAGCCCCATCCTCGCCCTCAACTTCAACAACACTTCCACCTAATCCCCCCCCCGCCTTCTCCCCGAAAAGAAAAAACAGAATAAGTATGTATAGAAAAACCACGCACTCTCAAACTCAAGCTCTCCCGAAAACCGACAAAAACATTACAACTATGAACAAGGCCGTCTTCGAAAGCATGTATGCACGAGACAAGAGTATCATAGCGCCTGAAACGGTAGCGGCGCGGCACATGACATCCCGTCAAGTCACGTCACGGGTCATAAAAGGAGGTGACTGACCGATGCGATCAAGGCAAACCCTCAATGCCCTGAGCAAGCCGCTCCTCCATAGCCTTGATAAGCACCGGGGGCACCGACTCGTCCGTCGCACGAATAGTAAGGCGGAACATCTGCGAGGCTATTAGTCCTTTACTGCTCTACTGCATAACAAGTATGTGAGAGGAGAGTAAGGGAGGGAATACATACCCGAGTATCAAAGTTTGGTTCCAGCCTCATCAAGCAACCAAACTTGCCTTCGCTCGAATGCAGCACCGTAGCACCCACGACGTTCTTGGCGTTGGGATCCACACCATTTACAATGCCCCACTTGAAGCCCTTGACCACCTTTTGCACAAATTCAGAGTTCATGGTGCGATTCTTGTTCACGAGGCCAAAGATGCTTTGGGCTTCGCGGGGTGCACCGCCAATCTGCTTCCATCGCTTGAAGAAGGCTTCGGAGCTCAGGTCCGCACCCTCCATGTACTTGTGTAGGAGAACGGGAAGTTGAAGGGTGAGACCCTGTAAAGCACCGGCGAGATATGAAATGCGTATCGTCGGTGGGTCTTTAAAGACATTCTTGCATTCGAACATGATTGTTTGCTGAGTTTGACCATCAGGTGCAATAGAGGTATCGGGCAGTCCTTTGACGTCTGTTTTGAGATTGTCCGATGATCTGTTGTCGAGAGTGGTGGTGAATGAGCCGATGGGCAATGATGATTTGTTGGTGAAGTAGAAGATGAGTGCACCCAGTTGGCCTCTGTATTCCGTCCGTAGGCCGACTTGTATCTGCTGGTCTTCGTAGAGTACACCCTCGCCCCGTAGAAGCAGACGGATATACCCAGGTTCCCAGTCTGGACTCAAGTGAGCAGCGCTTGCGAGGTTCGGGGCCTTGGCCACCTGGCTCGCGTCGATGTTCAAATCTAGTCCCTCAAGGTCACTAGAAAGTGAGTTGACGCCGTTCGTTCCATTCGCTGCTACAGCCCTGGCATCCTTTGGTGCTGGCTCCGTGAAGCTTCTCTTGACACCCGCGGAAGTATTCGATCGAGCAAGACCAAATTCTTTGAGATCAGCATTCGCGTCCTTGCCACCCACTACCCATGTCCGCTTATCACTGGTCGTAGCATGTTTCTGGTGTAGTCGTGAAAGTAACGCCGATGTTCGTTCAGGGTACGGTGGCATCTCGTCGCATACAGTTCGTAGTAGATCGTCCGTTGGCATCGTGGCGAGCGTCAAGTACTCGCAAGCTCTTTGTTGGAGTTCGGAATCGAGCGAAACGCTATAGGCGCGGAATGCTTGAAGAAGCTGCGGTTTGATCTCAGGGAACAGGTTGACGTATTTGACGTAACATGACAACAGGATCCCCCGCGTACTTGATGAACATCCTCGCATCTTTGCGCTAAGTGCCAAAAATTGTTCAATGGGACTGCAACCCTTGCTGTCCGCAATCAAATGGCCGAACTCTCCGAGAAGGTATCCTCCAATCTTAACTAGGGTCTCATGGCAGTCCGCCTTGATGTACTGAAGAATCGTTTGCGCGGCGTAGACCTGGAGTTCTTCGTTGTTGGTCACAATCTGGATAACTCTTTGCCAAACTTCGTCGCTGACATGATCTCCCGCCATTGCAATCAGCCGTAGTGATATGTCGACATACCACTGGACATCGGTGGCATACTTCTCAGTAAGGATGGCAATCTTCAACACCATCTCTTCTCGTATCGCGTAATCTGCGGACTGAAGGTATCGCAGAAGTTCGTTGACAATCGCCTGGGCATTGGTAGGATCACACATGCTGTAGAGCAAGTCTAAGCCTTGCCTCCGCACACTAATGTCCCTGTCTCTTAGCGATCCGATGATGATGGCTTGATGCTTCTTGATTGGATCTAGCGTTTCTGATCGTGCGGCCAAATGTGTCATGGCTTCGAGTCCTAAGTACCGCACGTTGGTTTCCCTAGAGGCGATGAATTTGCCGAGGCGTTGCGATATTTGTACCATTAGGTCTTGTTCGGTGTCTAGGTGGATGACAAGGTTGATGGCCTCGAAGAGTACAGCATTCTGCGCATTATTCTGTTGTACGTTTTTTGGCATTTCCAGGGCCGAGTCCATGATCTTTTGCAACGACTCGCGGATGAGGTTGCGAATGTGCGAGTCCTCTGCTTTTGTTAGTGAAGTCCATCAAATACTATAGATAGGTACTCGCCTGGAGGAGGATAGTACTGCAGCAACTTGAGTAGCTTGACCAGGATCCATGGACAGGGTACTTTGTAGTAGTAGTAGCCTTCTGCGCATTCGTTGTCTATCACGATTCGCTTGAGCCTGCTCGCAGCCTTGACGTAGCTTCCCTTGTATTGCTCCGCATTATCCTGGACCAGAGCTGTGATTAAAGATGTAACAGACAGCGCAACACCCATGTCAGGATCATCCATGAGCGATATTATCCGCTCAGCCCATTCGTTCTGCACAATGCTAGGGTGCTTTCGATAGAGTCGGAGAAGCGTCAAGGCCGCCTTCTTCTTCACGAATGCTTTTGATGCCCTGTCTCAAGTCAGCACACGCAATGAGACTTGGATATCATGAAGCACATACGGTGATATGAGGAGCCTATGGACTTCTGCACTCAGCGACTCTCCTAGCTCCTTGCCGCCCACGTTGGCAATCGCATGCAGGGCCAGACAGTTGTTGAGCTCATTGTGATCCAGCAAGTCTTTCCTGATGCTGTTAACTACCAGGTGTATCAGTTCGTGCTCTTCGTGCAAGAACAAAGTGACGGCCAGGTATCCGATCTGCTTTTCCGAGTACTTCATGGCCGAGATGAGATTGACAGCCTCGAGATGGCCAAAGTCGACGTTCCAGCCGAGAATATAGATGTACAGCAGCTTGCACACGTATTTCTTCTTCTGGTAGCCGTTCAGGCCGCCATCTCTGAACTTCTGCCGGATGTTTGCCAATTCCTTGTTGATCCGCTTCTCTTCTAGTTCCCGCGCGCGAGCATTGCGGAGGTCGGCGATGAAGGACACCAGCCCTCGCATGGTAGGCACATTGCCTGACTGGTCGCGGCCAAACAGCCCTCCACCCTTGGACGCCATTTTGGCGGTGACCGAGGCAGCCATGGTGGAGGTGGAGGAGGGAACGGTAGACGGGCGGTTCCCGCCTGGAAGGTAGCCAGACAACGCGGCGGTGTTCCGGGCCTATGTGGTGTTGTACGGTAGGCTTTCGAGGGAAGGGCAGGGGCCCGGGGGGGTTACCGCTGTGCTCGTAGGTGGGCTGCTGTCGAGTGAATGCGGAGTAAGAGGAAGCGGAGGAGGATAAGGAGCGCGCTGAAAGGGGAGGCCGTTTGCAAAGTCACTAAAGCGATCATCAAGCTGTTGCAGCGCAAGAAAGCAAATTGGACAAGACAATGACGGCCAGCATGCTGCACAGTGCAAGTGACGGCTGATATGCGGCGGTCTGTTGCTGCTCCACGCGCGAAGAGGATGCCGCGGAATCGCAGTCGGGGCTTCTAGAGTACACAATGCCGCCAGCCGAGTCTTGGCCTGCGTCTGCCTCTAAACTCCATCTGGACTTGGCTCCCCTAGGTACCGTACTCTGCTCGAAGAACGTGCTTGTATCATATTACAATCATCAATAGCTGGCCGCATATATAGTAAACCTTGCCGTAGGACTGGTCGAATGCCGTTGCACATCTCAATTAGCTCTCCGTTTTGCAAAACTTAGTTACCAACTTCACCCCCCCCCCTAAACAGTCCTACACTCCTTAAATCTTCAACATCAACCCAGTGGAGCAGCAAGCGGGTCACATTTACATAGCAGAAACAAAGATACACTTGAAATACAAATCAATCATCTCTGTGTGTAATTGACCGACTCATAACGAAAAAACCCCTCCCCCCAAGTCAATCATCCAAATTAAACCCCAGACAGGCCACCCATCCTCCCTTCCCAGCAACGCCGAAAACACCCACATCATGCATGTATGCTCGACTAACATTTCTCAATATCGAACGAGGCATTTATTTCTTAGTCGTGAAGTCCGTCTCCAAGTTGCTCGATCCATTGTTCTCGCTGCGGCTGCACGTGCATGCATCTATTCCCAGCGATTAGCCGTAATCCCATCGCATCCTCATACACACAATCTACAACATACCTGAAGCTCGCTTTCCGCAAGCGCACGCAGAGGATGGGAGTTTGTTCTCAATGGCGGCCTTGTCGCAGGCTGGTTTCCAAGTTAGTATGATGGTACTGGCTACGTCACACCTCTAGTGGTATACCACATGTATGTGAAGAATTGATGGAGCAGGTTTGAGGGAGTAGAAGGAGAACTTACTGCATTGAAGAGCAGGCTGCCTTCCACAAGAGCAAGTTGCCTCCTTTGCGCACACGCACTCGCCGTTGTTACGTCCGCAGCAGACCATTGTTGATGCTTGTAGAATTGGGGTGAAAGGTGCGGGTGGGTGAATATACAAATGGATCGCTATCGAAGATGTATTTTGACAGTAGAGTTGAAGATGAGTGTGTGCTTTTGTGATGATTCAGAATTTCAAAAAGAGCTCCCAGGCACGTCTTTATATACACTCGTCTCTCACCTGTTCCAGTCGCAACGATGTAGCTCGATGGGAAGTAGTGCGACTATTCCTGGCCAATCAGAGCGCGCTTGATTACGGTCGCTGCTCGAAGACGAGGCTGACCGCGCCACTTGCTGACTGCGAGATATTCAGATGGCTGTTATTTGTTGGAGATGCAAGGGAATTATCAGATTGATTGTTTGAATTATTTGGGCTTGGTTCATGGGACGATCCTGGTGTCGAAATTGCTAGAGGAGACGTGACTACTTCCGGTAGTGTGGAAAATGAGGGCAAGCGGAACTCAAGAATACGAAAAACGTCGAGGCTAGCTTTGTTGCTAGGATTACATCATTCTATGTATGCACCCGTGCATTTCATTCCCATTAAATAGTCCTGTTCATCTTGCTTTGCATCTAGTCGCGTGGACTCAGGAAAGTCTACACCATGAGTCGACCCAACTCCTCCTGAAGAGATACAATCTGGCTCTTGAGTGTTGCATCCATATCCGTAGACTACATCCGTTAGCTCCTATGGGGCGAAACGGGGCCTAGATCACTTACCACATTATTTTGTAGTGCCTGTAAGAGCACAATCGCATTTTGGTAGTCCCTTCCACCAGTCGACCCTTGCTGCTCGATTCCCCCATCTTTGCCATTAGCAAAATCCTTGATAGCATTCAGTAGGCCTTCATCGTCCTTGAACTCCTCAATCACACGGCTCGCGCCCTCTGGAAGTTGTGCCATCAGACCAAGACCGAGCAAACCCTCAGACCGAGCATCGGCGTAGAATCGTTGTCGGACAAGACGAGCGACTGGCCGTGCGATCTTGGAGATCTTGAAAATCTCATGTCGGACTGAATCGACATCTTTTTCTGCATTTGGTCGCCCAAGATACCGAACTATTGCGACTATTGTGCGACCCAGCTCGATCATGGGATTCTTCATGGTAGTGCTGGGTAGTGGCTTGGATGGAGTAAGCGCTTGTTCTACGATATGGGAGAGGACTGTCGTTTGGGGCGAATCTTGACTACTCTGAGCATGCGAATCCACTTTAGCTCTTTCGTATATGACCTTCTCGATGTTGTGGAAATTGTTTGTGACAAGCTTACAGAGCATTGCCGCTGCTTCTCCGCGTACAGAGGGGTCATCCAGTGTGAGCATGCGACAGCACGCCTGTATTAGTCCTGCGTCCGCAAGTACAACTCTGTTAGCTTCCGGGAAGGTGAGATGTCTCATGAAGCCCGCGGCGGCGTAAAGAAGTGCGGATTTGGCAGTTTCACCGTATTGCAGGATCGCGATCAATGCAATGTGCAGTTCCATAATCTGCACCATATCAGTGCAGACTTCATCTGACATGCCAAGATTGCCGAGAATGACGCAGGAGCACACTGTTGATGGGGCTGCTTTATCCCACGGTGACCGTAGCTGAGCCTCGACTCTTTCAATCACAGGCGTTCGAATGCTGAAGTTTTGCGCGAACGCATCTGTAGAGGAGACTGCAGAGATGGTACCAATCAACTGTGCCAGTAGAATCACTTTGGTATCCTCTGTCCCAGTATGATCAGTGTCTTTGGTGATACCCAGCTCCTGAAAAACTGCATGTATTTCCTCGGGAGTGAGTCGTGCCTCAAAATCCAGCAGGAGAACAACAAGGTCGTCCAGAAGTTTTGGACTTGCGACTTTCTGCTGGAAGTCTGGATCTTGTAAGTAGTGCACTAGGATCGCAGCATATTCTTCATAGTGATCAGGATTATATGTGAGAGCAACTTTCAAAAGACTTGTAAAGGCTTCAAGTGACGTATCATCCTTGAGCTGATTCGCAGTCAGATTGCCAGTACTCCAGGTAACTAGATCGGTTGCATAATCGACAGCCGCTTCCGGTATCTGCTCCGCGGCCAGCAATCTAGAAATTGTTGCATCAAGTCTCAGCATTGCTGCAGCTGCTTTAGCAGGTTCTGGTTCGGTCAGTGATTGTACTCCATATCGGTGATGATTGAAGAGCTTTACCGAAGTCATTGCACAAGTTGAACAGGACTGCCAAGGCAGTTATACACAAAGCACTTGATGAGAGGCAGTCGATCATCTGTTGCATGTTCCTTACAGCAAGCTCTCGGTTCGTATCTAGGCGATCATCAGGACTATGTCTATGCCAAGGGAATTTGTGGTTTGGATAGCATACCATTGTCTGCAACCGAATTGCCTATCACCCGGAGGTACTGCTTCGATAGACTCTTTTGGGGCTCTGTTGCGGAAAGCTGTTGCAGGACGAAGTCAAGAATACCAGTCTCTCGATATGGAGCCTGCCATTCCTCTGTACATTATTAGCGCAAGGTGAGATCCATAGGAACTGGGTTCGTACTTTGCTTTCCCACACTTGTCGCGAAGAGGTCTAAAAAGTTCTGAGCGGACTCAAGATTCCCGGATGCAATTGAAGCCTCAAGCTTCTGAAGAGCAGCTCTCAATGCGGCATTGTGACTGGGCTCGGGCGTTTTGTCTACAAGGATCTCCAACAGCTCCGAATAGAACGTTAATTCTGCATCCGATAGTGCTTGCATCTTTGAGTTTTAAGAAAGAGTCCAAGACACAGGAAAATGTTGAGACTGTGCCTGTTTTTATCGCGCCATGACGTTTGGCGAGGTTCGTGTGAGAATCCAATGAATCAAAGCGACGGCAGTTGGCGTCAAGTCGCAGCCTGATCGTATGGGTAACGAAAACTTCTAAATCCTCGTCAAATCTTCTCAGACACGTCTAAAGTAAGTTACTTGCCCTGTTGTTCGTTGTTCGCTGGCTGAAGTATCGCTCCACAAATGCTCACGGGCCGGCCAGCCTTGCCGCATTCGGCACTGGCTGAACCCCTGGAAAGCGATCCCTTGGCGACAATGGAGCGATCTGGCACCGAACATTCAACACCACGACAAGTCCAGATAGACTTGGAGCTCGCACGTTACACCGACCGCATAGCCTCATTCGAAGCCCTCCAAAAACCCAGTATTCCGCCAAGATGACGCGGGCCCAACAAACCATCAGCATTGCTATGCTGCTCACCTCCGTGAGCCTACCCCTTGATCGAACATCCTGTACGGCGCATGCTAATTGACTGTAGCTGTACCTCGCCGTATTCATGGAGGTTGTCGCCTTCCCCGAGAAAGTCCAAAAGGAAATCGTTCCTGTCGTACGTTAATGTTCCGCCCACCATAATTCATGGCGTATTCTAACAGATCCGCTAGCTACCATTCTGGGCTCTTGTTTCATTCGGTGCCTACCTTCTCTTCAAGCTCGGTTGGGGAGTTTTTACTTTCAACGATGTCCCGGAAGCGCACAAGGAGCTGATGCAGCAAATACACGAAGCAAGGATCGACCTTAAGGCTAAGGGTGTGGATGTTGGTGAGGACTAAGGGAGATGGGAAATCGTGCGGCATTACGTGGGCTATGGACGGGGCGTTGAAATAATAGGAAGAGTTTATATATGCATAATCGCTCATGCGAATGGGGATTTGGTATATGTAAAGACTCGCTGTTCAGCTTAAACTGCGCGCAATACACTAATCAAGCAGCATCGATTGCCTCCTGCTTGTGCATCTGCTTCAGCTTCTTCTCCGTCTTCATGAATTCCCTTATTCCAACCGGTATATCATCAAACAGCTTGTCTTGGTCCACATCTACATTCCAGTTTGTCTCGCTGCCCCCGCCGTCATCGTCCATACTGACAGCCACATGGCTTGGCGTATCTTGTCCGGTAACCATGGTGCCACTGCCCTTTTCCTGCTCTCTTTGTGCTTGCATTGCCCGCCTCGCCTGAGCGCTCTTCTCCGCCCACTCTTCCATTTCGTCTCGGTACATATCCCAAACGCAATTCACACAGCCAGACATGCAACAGTTGTCCGGCTCCTCCGGTTTGGGTGGAACGAGCACCCCTGCAACGTTTCGTGATGCACTTTCGATCTCTTGTCTTCGTTCTGCGAGGGCTTTCTTGGAGCCAAAGATGATGGCCGCCTTTTCGAGGGTTTGTTCCTTCTGCGACTTGGGTGGCTCTTCGGCAGGCTGTGGCACGGGCGCAGTGCGAGTCAATGGCTGAACCTGTGAGCGTGGCTTCTTCAGTAGTTCTGCGCTCTGTTAGTAAGTATAGCCTTTTCGTATACTGAGTGAGACTGCTAGGTAAGCGGACCTGCGTAGAATCCCGTTATAGGCCGGGCTTGCTCGCCTTCCGGCGCAATGTATCCTTTGGAGCGTCTCTGTATCCGGTCGCTATTCTGCAGTCCTACTCTTTGCCATCTCGCTCGTGTGACTCCGCTGCTTTGACACATCCTACAGGCATTGACCAGCGGCCGTGTGAAAACAACAAGCAGCTCCATGGCAGATATTTTGCGCTAGCACTGCTTGCGCCTTGAGAGATCTTATAACATTGGAGAGTGTTGCTCCGTCATATAAATGCTACGGACGTGGTGGAGGAGAGTGCTAACATGCATGAAAACCCCAGGAAGACGTCATTTTGCGTATGTCCGAGGGTCGGCACAAATCACAGCGAACGCCGACGGGGTCAACAACACGCGCCCGACGCGTCAACATTCACGGCTTCGGAGCACACCCCACCCCCCGGCTATCGTTACGACGGAAATCCATATACTGCAACATATGACCACTTGCGGAACTGGGTAAATTACCTATGCGAAGAACAACATAGCTCATTATAACTCTCAATGGACGAGCCCGCACGCAAGCGCCGAAGAACCGATTCACCAGAGGAGCACGGTAGGCAATCAAGCCCTCTGAAAAAGCCCCCGCAACGGCCATCATTCGCATCGCCTACGAAAGCTAGCCTTGCGCGCAATTATCCCGACTTGTTGCGTGCTGCATCTGCTGCATCGCCAGGACCGCGAGCAAACGGCCGTAGCAGTTATGTACAGGCGCGAGATCAGCAGGCGCGTCAACCGATTCTCGAGGAGACGGAAGATAGGAACGCAATTTTTCGCGCAAGAAGGACGCTGAAAAGGAGTCCAGTCCCTAGGATTGCACAAGACGAAGACGGTTCCGAGTTGCCTGCGACATCATCAGTAGCAGATACTGAGGAGCAAGACGATTCTCGTCAAGGTTTACCATATTCTTCACCCAGCAGAAGGCCACACCGCGTCAGAGAGCCAGTTACGCAGTCGCCTCTCAAAAATAAAGCTCCTTTAGTCAAGGAAAATAGCCTTACACGAGCAGTTGCAGACAATCCAGCGGGTAAAGACCGTGCCCCAGATCCGACACAAACAAGAGACTCTCCTGATCCAGAGTTAGAGAAGAAAAAACAAGAAAGGGCACGGCTGCAACGCGAGATTGAGCACTTGAATTCACAAGTGTCTAGATGCGCGCAAGAGATCGTCAAAGAGCAGCAGCGAGCGCCGCAGGAATCCATGCCTGCCTCAGAACGGAACAATTTAGTGTAAGTAGAAGAATTCGATTGTATCGACATCGTACTGACTATGTAGAAACTTCATCACCGAAATTAGTGGTATTGATGCTGAACAGAACCAACCAACCCCTGTGTCAAGTTTGTTGTGCTCTTTTCTACCCTTCTCCGCACTATCGGTCCCTCGACCACGCGTGAAGGAGCCCGAAAACCCTATTCCCTCACATCGACCTGTGGAAGTGGCCGATCCCATGCCCTACCTACAAATGTTCACCTCCATGCAATTCTCCACAGAGATAAGCCTTCCACGCGGCAAGGTCTCTCTGTCCTCCAATCGAGTGCATCAGAAGCACACAATCGACATCGTTGGGCCACAGAGGCTTTTGACAGCGCAAGTATCTATTCTTCTCGATGCACTAGCGAACGCAATAATCGACCTACGCATCCTACGTCTCTCGTCATGGGCCGAACGCGAGTTGGGCACACACATCCGGGAAAAAGCAGAGGACCAGGACCTTGGAACCATATGCTGGGCTATAGAATCGTACTGGGAGTTGGCGAAGAAACGTGCCCAGTACTGGCAGAGGTGCGAGACAGCTTTCGCCCACCTTATCGCCGGACATGCGAGCGAGGACTCAGAGAACATTGCTCGACCAACAAGGCCGAAGCAGGTAATGCCGCGGAAAGATCTTAGCCGCCACTTAGGTCGCGATATCTTGGTCCTGCAGGACGAGCACGTTTTGCTAAAGCTTAAGTGGCGGATCGGCTTTGATTGGACTGGTGAGGCCGAGTCGGAGGTTATGGTTGAATCTGCCTTTCCTCGAGTTTGTAAGTTGATTATCACACATCTTTGTTACTTTGGCAGCTAATGACGAGTAGGGTCTGAGGCAGATATAGGTGATAGTCTCAAGAAAGTGCCAGAGACCTTTGCCTCGCTGCTCCGAACTAAAGGCGCATTTGAAGCGACCAGAATCATGGCAGCGCTCTTATTTGCTAAATGACTCTCGATAACTTGATTTCTTGTATAGCTGTCTTCGAGATACCCAAAGCGAACATGATGCATATTATTCAAGAATTATTTTCATAGGCTATGCATTACTGATTAATGTCTGGCTCGCGCCATCTATTTTCATTTCTTACATCTCCACAGTACCCCGATTCGACCTCCTACTTGCTGGCAGTACCATTGTTCATGCTAGGCCAGAACTCGCTCAACCACTCATATGGGTCCTCAGGGACATATTGGTTCAGGATCTCTCCCGTGAACTCGGTGATGCTATCGCGGGTAAGGTTGTACAGTGCGTACTTCTCGTCTGGTCCAGTGCCAACAGTGTATGGGACGGTTTGCACGTTGTTGCCAATTTCCTTGTCGACGTAACGTTTCATGTCTGCGACTTGGGAGTTCTTGATACGGTACTCGTCACCGTAGTTGGGGTTGATCTGGGATGTGTGTCAGAGGTAGGTATTGGAGCGGAGAAGGTGGGCGAGAGAGATTGAGATTGGAACGTACTATGCCCATCCTGGTACCATTGATGGCGATGACGTTTTGGATGGTGACATTGCGCTTGGCTTGGTTCAAGCAGTTACCACAGGACTGGTAGAAAGTTCCAAAGGTCTCGGCGTAGAACCCGGTGATATTGAGCTTGCCTCCAAGCTGCGATTCATGGTCAGATCAGAGCTCAACGTACGCAAGGCCAAATAACCCCTGCGCTTGTCACAATTACTCACAGAGTTGTCCTGGAAGATCTTGTCCGTCGCACTACGGGCTCCACCACCGATGACGCGAAGCTGAGTGTTCAAACCCTTGCTAGTAAGGGCATCTTCGCAAACATCCTCCCACCATACTACAATCGTAGATCAGTACAAAGGCACTACGCCGTCCAAGTATATCAGGCTCAAAACATACCGTTCTCAACCCACGCATCACCAAGCGCATGGATACCCTCCGCCTGATTCTTTCCAATAATCACATTCCTGATCGTCGACCCGGGAAGCAAGTTGAACACCGCATCTGCATCGGTACCTTCGGCCTGCTCGTTGCAGCTGCCCTCTACGCGTTCATATCGCTTCATCTGGCCATCGAAGACCTCGCCGGGCTGGATGTAGCGTGTCTCGGTCAACACCACAGTTTCCTTGGGAACTGGGAATTGAGTGACGGGGAAGGGGAACCTGGGTGCTGGACGCGCGCCCAAGTCGCCTTGAGTGGAATCGGCACCGCCCTGAGGTCCATCACCTGTCTGGCGACGAACAGCCGCCGAGGCAGCGAGGGCAGGGAGAAGAGGCAGGACGACGGAAGCAGAGATCTTCATCTTGGGGCTAAGGGAATCTGGACTGAGGTATATGTACACTTGAAAGATGTCGACGACAACAAAGCAGGACGAATTGATCTCTGTCAACCAAATATCCCGTGCCAATGAAGAGCGAGAGAGTCGTACCCTTTCCAGAAGAAATAATTATGCAACCTGCCCTCCCCCAGCCTTTATATACATCTTCTCCCATCCCCCCCCGGCGCTTAGCAAAAAACCATGCCGTCCACACATGTAAATCACCACACTTTTTTCCTTCCAGGCATCCAGCAAGAGTTGTTTTACGCGAATGGCTCATGTCGCCTAGCTTGCCCCAAAGCAAACTACACGTCTAGCCTAGGTATGACGCCGCCACTTTGCCAAAAACCGATCTTGCATCTTCGAACGGTTGCAAGGGGGTGGACCTATGAGGGTGAGGAGAGCGTTTTCCGATGCCCGATGCCTGTGAGTTCAACTTCCGAGGCTCACGCGACTCAGGCGATTGCTGCTGCCAAGACTTGTTACAAAAGTGGCTTGGTTTTGGGATAGGAGGGTATTTACTATTTAGGTGGTGTATAAGAATTTTAGTTAGGTTTTAAAGGAAAATAAGTGGTTCTTATTTGTGAAAGTAAAATAATTCGTTCTAGTAGGGAATACCGCATAGATTTGATTTTAGGTTGTTTAATCAAGTCAAGAAGTGTTACTGCTGTAGATATTGCGAGTTGTACTGTTTTGCAATTTGCAAAGAAATACAAGCTAGAAACATAATCTTTGTGCGGTTTTTAAGGCCTTCAAGTAAAGAGACGCTGTAACCTGCTCATATTAGCATTAACAACGTTACTGCCAAACTTAATAGTCTGACGTTCTTCCTTTAATAAGGGAACCGTCATTAAATACACGGTCAGAGATTCTATGAATATTATGCTATAGCCTACAATTAGATCCTGCAAACATCTAATTCTGCTATAAATCAAGAGCTAACGATAGAAACACTAAACGCACACCAACGCACTGCACACTCTTGCCTACCTTCTCCCACCCTCCAAAATCCAACCTACCTCCCGACCAAACCACCCACTCACAACCCCAAACCCCATCTCGCTTCACCCAGCCCCGTGCCATTCCCGTCCTAGCGCACAACCAACATTACCACTCTTGTCACATAGTTATGCAGCTTGGAACAGCACCACCATACGGTAAGTAGTAAGTAGACACAAGTCAGAGATTCAAGCCTCTGATTCAAGCCACCAAAAGAAACCACCAGCCCAGCCGGAAAAACTCGCTCCTTTGCCATACCGCCACAAACCATCCAACCATGCCTCCGATTCCGTGAATTACAGCGCGAGGATGGCGGAGACAGGGCGTTGTACATGTACAGCTTGGACGAAGGGCAGGGCTGTGGATCCAAGCGAGTGTCCTTGCGGCATGGGAAAAGGCGACGGGCGTTTTTCTCCACGAATTGGCGTGGGGCTTGGCGTACCCCGGGTTTTTCTTGGGGGTTATGCAGGTCAGTGTGTTGGTTCTGCGGGGTGCAGGGGTGCGCGGGCGGGAGGATGGGTGATTGGTGATGTGTGTTGTTGGGGGCTACGTCAGGGCAAGCGAGATGGGGGTAGGAAATGCTGCGGCTGTGAGTTTGGGGGGATCGATGGTCAGGGCTTGATTTGGATGTGGGGATCGAGGAGTGCACTTTTTTGGGGTCAGGTATGTGAGGTTTAAAGGAAGAAGTAGATAAAGATCTGCAAGTTGCAGCTGGTATTTGATCTTCTCTGTTACCATGCTGTTTGGCCATCCCCGCAGCTCCAGATATTCTTGGGCTGTTCACATGATAGTGAAAAACCATAAAGTCTCTCTACCTTTGTCCTTCTGACCGCTAGAGGAGAAGTCCCGTTTCATTTCTTTGCTGATTCCATTTCTAGCGCCCAAGCCCGCATCTCAGGGATTTCCCACTCCAATTTCTTTCCCGTATCCGACGACAACCTTCCAAAGAGTTCGTTGCGGAAATGAGGATGTGTGTCCCAAACAGCGGTCCAGGCGTACTCATTCTCCTTAGTAATGTGGACAATCTTCCTGTGTGTCCAGAACATCCCAGCAATAGTCAAGTACAACCGGTATAGTGAACTGTCGGGCGTCGAATGATCACAACAAAAGTCAATCGTCTCTGGCCCAAAACCTGATCTTGGATATGGCCTCTTGCATTCTGGGAGATACACATCACATAGTCCACGTATGGCAAGCGCTTTGAAAGTAGGCGCATCAAGGTAGTCGCCTAGGACCCACGCTTTCGCACTGTCTCGGATTTTTTCATGGTTGGCGAGGTCGTCCTTGTCGTCGTACTTGCCATAGTACAGGAATTGGATGAAGAGCTGGAAGATGTGTGGCTCAGTGTCTACTAGTTCGACCTTCAGCTCTGTACCCTCTCTGAACCTCTTGACGCGCTTGAAGAATCCAGAGTGATGCATCAGAAGTGCATGAGGGATGGTCCAAGTTCTGGCACAGCCCGCGGCTGAAACTACCTTTACGGTCATGGCTGGACCGTCTAAACTGCGGTCATGTCAGTACCTTCATCTCGAGTTCGTCGGAGCCAGGGACGGCGTACAGCCTGAGCGTATCCTCCATCTGATGGCTTGAAGCTGCACCCATGTCATGCAGAGATTGGTGGTGATGTGTCCTTCGAAGCTCGGTGTCGCAGTGGTGCAGGGCTGAGAGAATGAGTGTTCGGTTGGAAAGGCCTATGTTGCGTTTGCTGTTCATGGCAAACGAGCTTTTGTGGTGACTGTGAACGTGAGTTCGATACGACTGCACTTTTCGACGAAGGAAGGTTACCGAACAGAGATCAGAAAGGAACTACAATTCGCCAAGTAGAGAATTCGGACTCTGCTTTCTTACAAATGTGCAGTTCCGCGCCAGCTGTACTCTTCTTTTGATTATTTTTTTTGAGTTATTCGACACTGTTGTTTTATACAATCTCCTAGGCGGGACCTGGGGTCTCTGCAGTTCTTTGAAAGGTTAATTGCAATAACAGACTCTCTGTGGTAGACTGGCCGCTGCAGGCAAGTCAAAGCTCGTATCAGAGATTGTGGAATATGTTGTCAATGTACCAGTGGACAATGTGTTGGTTGAGTATCATTACCACGGCGAAGATTGCGTGCGTTCCATGGTACTCGTTATAACAATTGTCTTCATTGTTCCTAAACCTACCTTAGGTAACTTGTTGGATACCCAGCAAACAATCTAAACAATCGTTCACGAGGTACCGTACCAAGAGGACCTCATTCACCCTTATCTGGAATCTATCAGCATAGGCCATGTGAATTCTGTACTTACACCAACTTACTATACCCTTACTCCAACTCGCTCCTGAACCGGCCGTGACCCTTACAATGTCAAAGATGCTTGTTGCCAATAGCTAGGACAGTTGCTCGTCGAAAAGTGAGATAGTAGCTCCGGCTACATGAATCAGAGAAGCTCCGTATTTCTGCCCTGGTCGAGCGGCATGTGGAGATGCGGAGACACGGATAGTTGTCCACTGGAAGTTAGTTACCGGTATTGTACCTACCTAGCTTACCTAGCGCGCGGAGAAAGATGCGGAGGCGGGATGTCAGGATCACGTGGTAATTCAAGGTCACGGTCCGAGGCACAGGCTCTTCGCTCACCTCATGGAGGACCACGTTTCTCTGTAAAGCACCAAGGACACGGGCAGTCGCGCAACTGCGAACGCAAGCGTGTTGATAAAGCATTAGCCAACATGTCGACCATGATCACGTTCGCCGCGAACAACGAGTTCTTTCGCAAGCGCAAGCGTACGTGGGGACGACGTCAATGCGCACGACTACAACACGCAGCTAACAATACAGCAGGAGTTCATCGCGCGTGTGAATCATGTAAAAAGCGGAGAAAGCGCTGCAGCCATACTTTTGACGATGAAGAAGCTCAGCATGTAGAAGACGGAAGCTCTTCCCAAAGTGGACACCCAGGCGCTCCCAGAAGCTCCGATTTCCATGCTGCAAATGGACACTACCATGCACACGATGCAAAAGGTCCTCGTGGAGAGGCCATTGCTCATGGAAATGCCAATTCCATTATGCCTCCACCACATAGTCCGGTAGAGGATCCACACACCCAAACTCCGCCCAACTTTCTGGGCTACCTCAACCCAGAAGCCGTTCTGCGAGAGCAGGTCCATGGCGAACGTGGAAAGCCGGCTGGATCACCCAGTAATCCTTCCATTGGCCACTGGATAGACGAAAGAGATCCAAGACCAGCGTCGACAAACGGGGGTTCAACTTCATCGCGCATTAATGAGACAGGTCCGCATACTACCCAGGAAGCGCAGATCTCCAGAGCCCTTCAACAGTACTTAGATGCAGTAGGGTATGATGTTCTGCCCTCAAGACGGAATCAGGATGCTCTCCTTGACATCTACTTTGCCTATGTGCACCCACTTCTTCCGTTAGTCGACAAGGAACTCTTCTACGAGCAATACAATCACGGCCGGGAATCACGAATGCTAATGCAAGCAATTTGCATCGTAGCGTCAAAGCATGCCCATGCGGCAAAACACCTCCATCTCGGAGAGGATATGGCACTTAGTCCGAGGACATTTTCTCAGAAGCTGTACAATGCTGTCATTGTGGGTATTGAAGCAAAACTAGAGAAGAATCGTGTTGTATTGATACAAGTTCTGGCGCTTATATCGCTACATTGTGAAGGGCCAGATGGCGCTGAGCAAGCTTCGATGCATCTTGCGCAGGCCATCCACCACGCCCATACATTTGGATTGCAATTCGGCCATCAATGGAAAAACCAGAGCTCGGAATCACAAGGAAATCTCGAGGATGTGTTTTGGTGTCTTTGGAGTTTGGACAAAATCAATGCATGCATGTATGGTCGGCCTTTGCTCATGCATGATCGCGACAACAGCTTGAGACAACTACCGACAGATCCTGAGAAGCGGTCAAGTCCATTTGGAATCTGGCTCCAGATCTCAGAAATGTTGGACAAGGTCATTGACTACTATCGACCTGGGAGAGCAGCAGAAGAGACTGGCTGGGAGGGAGACGACTTTTTAGGCTTCGAGGAAATGGTTGGTGATGGAGAGGATAAGCTCGATGGTCCCATAATGAGTGAGTACTTTCTTTTGTTAAGGAATGTCGTAGACTAATATTTCCTCTAGGTCTACTGTCGCTGTTCCACCATACCATGTGTATGGCTTCGCACAAGTCCCTCTCAATCAACGCTCCTGTCAAATCAACACCATCTTACGTCCGCCAAAGTCTTTCAGCGACCAGAGTCATTCATCTGCTCAACGCCGAGTCCCCAGAACTACTACCACCACTCCCTATCGTGCCATACGCACTGGGCGTAGCCCTCAGCGTAGTCTACCGCCACTTCCGATCACGACGCCTAAAAGTGCACGTCAATCGCGCGACCGAAGAATTAAAGCAATGTGTCCGCCTCCTCGACCGCCTACGAAACGCATGGTGGTCAGCAGGCACGACCGCAGATCTAGGCCGCGCAGTCCTCAGCAACGCCGCCGGCCGCACCACCAACGCCGCCAACACGCCCGTCCCCGCGCCCGCCGAACCCCGTCGCCCCGAACCAAAAACAGAGCCTCCAACACCGCAAAACACACATGAAGGTCATCCTTTATCCCAATCCCACTACGTCCCACAACCACACTGGTCCCAAAATACAGACACAGCCATCGATCCCCGTCTCCAACACCCACACCAATCCCACACCCCATTGCCCAGCCTCCTCAACCCCATCTCATCCGCACCTCCAACCTCGACCTCCACACCAGGCCAACACCCAACCAGCAGCGAGCGCGCCGACCGCGCCCCGATTCCGCCTGCCGTCTATGGCTTTGCGGAGCAGTCGCCCGACTGGCTGAATTTTGACGCCGCGTTTGAAAACTTTGAGGGCTTGCTTGGGAGCTCGGGCGCGGATCTGAGTAATGAGTTGTTTAGGCCGTTGAATTATGAGACTCTTGAGGGGTTTTTGGATCCTGCGGCTTGAAGGGGTGGGGTTGCTGGTTCGTGGTGGATCGATGGTGTTGTGGGGGCGCTGCGAGGGGTTCGTGTCGAGTTATGCGGGCTTGGTGTGTGAGGGAATTTTTTTTTTTGGATTATGTTTATATTGCTTTATTGAGATGAAGGGGGTTAGGCTCAGTTTGGTGGAGGTCTAGGGTTTGTAATGGGGGGGGGGGCTTTTATCTGTACATGTGAACACTGGTTTGATGGTTAACTGAGTCATTCTTCACGTATGGGCTGGGCAACGGTTGTTCTGGCCTCGTTCCTTGGGCCCGACGGTTCTTTGAGATTCTACTTTTGGGTGGGAGGAATGCACGGTTGTAAGGATTGCATGTTTTTCGTCAATAGAGCACAATGGATGGGAGCTTGGGGAGCCCCCGACCGAGTGTGTTCTCGTCGAGGGGCAATGATACAATTTTAGAGTCACGAAGCTATAGAAATATGGACAATGCTTCATCCTGTATTTTTTTTAATCAGTTGATCTGAGGACATATCGCTATTGAGCTGATTGTAGTATACGACTCCGAGTGTAGTAAAAATCGGGTCCGTGGATTTCCTGCGCCGAAATTATAGCCACGTAGGTTGTCAAAACGGCAAGAGACGTTGTGTTTTAATGTTTTGAAGAAAAGGCACTTGTCTCGACAGCATCACCCAATTTTATAACCTCGACCTAGACTAAATAAGTCGACTCTTCCTTTGTAGACGTGCATCCGACATGCTGTTGCCCTTGTCTCCCCCGTGAAATACGCCATCATGCAGAAGTGGAACATTTACTGTCCCAATGATCCGCATGCCTCGATCCACAGTATAGACAGCGTGCCTGGAATCGAAGCAGAACCTACATGGCCCACTTCTTGCAGGTCTGGTGCAGACACTGGTGCTTGCACCTGCCTCCGTCGAGCGCGCACATCCTGCGCTCGCAGTCTTCCTTGCACTTGTGATCACAGTCGTTGTTGTTGTTCTAACACGGCTGTCAGTAATCATGCTCGCTTCCACCAGCCTTGGAGCTCGTACGAAGCCCGGTTTGGGCTGTACACGTTACTTACACTAGAGCAGGCGTCGTAGAAGTCGTCGCAACCGCGGCAGGCCTCTATAAGTAGGAATGATTAGTATGTTGAAGCATGCTTGATGGGTACGGAGCAACGTACCGCTCGTCAGGACGCAGCGTTGGGGATCGTCGAGGCAGTGGTGGCCTTGAGGACAACCGAATATATCGAAATGCCAGCAGTTGTTGTCGCCGCAGTACATATGGTAGGCACTGCGTAGAGGGACACATCGAATGGCGCCTACGGGACTACACTTGTCGCAGTCAGGTTTCTTGGCGTTGACGGTGACGAAGACGGAGACGAGAGCCAGCAAGGCGAAGATGAAGTTGAGCAGATTCATGGCGATGTCAATGCAGGTGGTTGAAATTGTTTGTGGGTGCAATGAGTGAGTAGTGCAATTGTTGAATTGGACTCTCGAAGTGAGAGGGGGCGTGGATGATCAATTATATAACGACCCTCCAATACGCTAAAGCGTTTGCACCTTCCCTGCCCAATCCCAAAACTGTTGGCCCAGGCGGGATTGAGAGAGCTCATGCTGAGCTGAGTAATTCCTCATTCACATAGTGCAGATATCCATCTTACAGTCAAAGTCGCACCTGCCACTATCAAACGCACAGGTCTTCCGAGCGCAGGCAACCTGGCAGTCCATGTCGCAAATGCTCCAGAAGTCCTAGAGATAGTCAGTTCTGAGAGTACACAAAGGCAGCTATCGCTTCAACAGCATGCTTTGCCTTGCTCTCGTGTTGACTCACTTCGGTGCAATGTTCGAAGAACTCGTGACATCCAGCGCAAGCCTCTGCAAATGCTTTAGTAATAATTACAGAACCATCACCATACGTGTGACTACTTACCAGCTTTGGCAATGCAGTGAAGGCTTGGCCGATCGCGACAGACTTCGTTGTATTTGCAGAGGAGGCTGTTTAAGGTCCAGCAGCCGTTGTGACAGACTTGAGTACCCCTCTCGCCACTGCCAATTGAGAAGCGTCCACACTTGACCTCGCCCTCGTGGCTGCACTTGTCGCAGGATCCTTTCTTGGCGCAGACTGGGATGGCCATGATGAAGAAGGCCAGAAAGGCGGAGATGTAGTTGAACAGCAACATGTTGACGAGGGTCTTTGAACGTGGAGATCCTTTGCTGGGTGACAGAAGGGTTGAAGAGAGTGAAGTGGGTGAGAAGCGTGTGCGAGAAGCGTATGCGAGCGAGGTATGAGAGAAGTATGTGAGAGAGGTGTGAGAGAGGTGTGAGAGAGGTGTGAGAGAGGTGTGAGAGAGGTGTGAGAGAGGTGTGAGAGAGGTGTGAGAGAGGTGTGAGAGAGGTGTGAGAGAGGTGTGAAAGAGGTGTGAGAGAGGTGTGAGAGAGGTGTGAGAGAAGGATGTGAGAGAATGGTGGAGGTAATTTATACGTTATGTGTAGCGGTCCCCGCTCACTGCGTTGCAAAGCGCACGTGCAGCAAAGAGACAGTGGCTCCTTCCTAGTCCAATCTCATTATCCGAGTATATACTGATGCACTCTGATAGTTATATGTCTTCTCAAGTCTTGCAAATGAGCATGCCACAATCCTTCCTACACTTTCCACCGTCCATCTCACAAGTCTTTCGAATGCAAACCTTCTCGCAGTCTGAGCCCTTGGGACAAGCAGCCCAGTAATCCTAATTTGTGTGAGCGTATGACCCTTGCACTGTAGTAGGGTTGTTGATGCGACTTACACTCTTGCAGTGGGTGAAGTACTCGTCACAGCCAGCGCAGGCTTCTGTGTTGAGAATGTGATCAGCTGAATGAGTATCTTGGGGAATGAGAAGAACCACTTACGGGAGTTCGAAGTGCAGTGAGGGGTCGGCGATGCGATGCACATCTTTTCTTCACTCTTGCACTCCTTTTCCTGCCGGATGCAGCCATTGTTGCCGCACTTCATGAGGTAATGGATGTTGGTTTGCTCATCGTAGTCGCAGAAAAGTTCACCTGGGTTGTTACACTGGTTGAAACAGGGTTTATCACCCTTTGCGGAAGTGACAGCCGCGAACAAGACGAAGAGTGACACGATGTACTTGAAGAGGTTCATGTTGTCGATTGACAGTGGAGGTGGGCGATTGCGTTGGCAGTGGAGAAGGAAAGGTTGAGGAAGGCGAGCAATATATCGTTGCGCACGACCCACAACAAATATTGCTCCTTCCATTTTCTGTCTCTCTCACCAGAGGTCATTCCGACTTGAAATCATGATATACGGTAGGAATTACACAGTAGATAGGCGACACTGGCTAAAGTCCAGGCACTTCAACGCACAGCCATTGCGCAAACAAAAGAGCTCAGACACCCTAAGTAGCATGTCCATCCGCTGCCATGCAAAAAACTATCCCTTACTTCACTTCAACAACTGTAATCCCAAATAGTCTCACAAGATCCAGGTAATCCTCCCCCATCGCCAAAGACATGTCGTCCCAATCCACCCTCCTAGCGCCGTCTTGGCAAACCGGGACCGCCAGCCCGAAATTCCAGAAACACCAAATCCCATCTTCATCTTCACACCTCGGTGCCGCAACGACTACCCACCACCCACCAAAATGAATCTCTCCACCTTCCGCCCCATCTTCCGCCCCTTCAAATCACCCCTCCCACGACCTCAAACAACCGCCATCCGCCCACAACCACAATGCCTTAACCCAACATCCACACCCACCCACCCACAATCCTTCTCCTCGACCACACGCCTACAAAAACGCACCAAAAAAGGCAGCGGCGGCGGCACAGACCCAAGAATAAGTATGTTTATCCCCCCTCATCCCCCCTGAAAAAGATATCCAACAAAAACCCCGCCCTCTCCAAACAAATATACTGACGCACCACCCCAGCGGCAATACGCTACCACCTCTCCCACCCCCTCACCCCGCGCCCCCTCCACTTCTCCCGCAACCGCCACCTCCGCCACTGGACCATCCACCGTGCCTGGCTCCTCTTCCTGCGCAAGCGTCGTTGGGCTGAGGAACGCGAACTCGAGCGCCAATACATGAGCATGCGCGCGGCATGCGAGCACCTGCGCGTGCTGGACAACCACGGCAACCGCGTGAGCGAGGAAGAGGCGGGCGGGCAGGGCCCTGATCCCTGTCGTTTGGGGCCAAGGGGTATGGAGGTTGGGAGCGTGTATCGTAGTGCGATGTTGAAGAGGGGGGTGTGGGGGAGTGTGCCGGTTGAGTATCTTC